GTGGGGGGGTTGTGGTTGCAGGATGATAGGGGGCAACAGGGAGAGGTACTTTTAATAATAGGAGCAACCAAAATAATGTTACCAGTAATTGGCTTTCAGTAGAAATGTTATTTTACACAAAGGCCCTGGTGAGCAGCCTCAGCTTTCAAAGGGCTGAACCCTATTCTCTTTCAAAGCACACACACACACACAGCGGCTGACTGGGAGTTGAGAGCTGAGGAGAGTGCTGCAGTGAGCACAGCCTCTCTTCTCCTTTTCACCCTCCCTGCTCAATCCCATGCTCCCTCCCTCCACTGCCAGTCAGCCCACTGTCTTTAAAATGTAGTCATTAGGGAGGACAGACTATCACGCAGACAGAGAGAGAAGAAAAGTTTCCCCTTTTTTCTTCTCTGAACTCTTCACTTTTACCATGTTTGAGAAGACATTAATGTAGAAATATTAAATAAATAACTGCAAGAGAAGTAGATGAAATTAAGAGTGTACCAGGGGAATCTTAACTCAGCAATTGCAGATGAAAAGGTGTTCAGAATATGTATATGATAGAGCTCTGACCCGTATTAGAGGACATAGTTCAAAGACATCTTATATTCAGTTTTTTCAACACTTATTCAGCAAGAGGAATGTTTAACATGTAAGAGCACAGGGACAGAGGAGTCAGTGTACACTGGGCAGGCAGCCCCTCCTGCATCTGCCAAGCATCTCCTCACACTAGGCAAGATGTCAGAGGGCCAAAGGGTATCAAAGCCTCTCAAAGGACTTTCCCGGTCCTGTGAAAAGCCAGGATATAACTCTTTCGGCAAGATTTGATAAGATGCAGGTGTTTTCTGCAGACAGAAAGCAGAGCCTTCACTTAAAATTCCACGGCGCAGATACTGTATCCCGATAAAAGCTGTTAGTCAATGGCTCACTTCCGAGGGAAGTCTACAGCCCCAATATCAAAGGCCTGTTGAAAAAAGTCACCCCTGTGATAAGAAAGGTTAATGCAGGCACTGGAGAACAGTTGCTGATTATCAAGCGAGCTACATGTTTGACACAGACCTGCTGTTGAGGTAGCATTGGCCCTGCGCGGCCGTCATACATGGTGACCAAACAGTCCTGGATTAAAGCTCAGCGTGCGACTATGTGTACACTTTCCTTATTAGGTGTTAACAGGGTTGAACATTTTGAACTTTTTCAGCATCTGTGTGGAAGAGAAACAGCAGTGAGGACGGAGGAGCAGAGGATATGTCAAACAATAGTTCCAGTCTTCTTGGATCTCTTTTGGGATAAATAAATCAACTAATTAATGCATAAATTAATAAAACTGATGCTGGCAGATCACAGCAGCCAATGTCCAGTGTCTTCCTCTGGTGAATGGCTCTCATGACCTGTGCGCAGTGTATGAAAAAATGAAAAATGTAAGCGCTTGTTAATGCTACCAAATGCACGTCCTTGTTGGTTTTGATTCTTGGTATTGATGCCATTTTTTTATGGCTTCAAAGACAACGTATAGGTTGTACAACATTATCATCTGGTGTTGTTGTTGTCTCTTTACTTGCTGTAATAGAGCTTCTATATACAGAGGTGTAGTTATCTGTTTTCAAAAGTGTACAGGTCTGCCTTCAGTCATCAGGAGATAAGCTGCTGTTTGCCATCTCACCTCCTTTACTCCTAATTATTTTTGAATTGTGTAACGATAACCAGCTTTACAAGGACAGGTCACTGACTGGGGTTTGCTAAATTATGATGCAATGTGTTTGTGCCATCTCCTTTTTACCATTTACCCGTAATTAAACTTTAACTCATTACAATAGAGAAGATAATTCATAAAAGGGAATTTAATTAAAATTTTATTATTAGCCCTTAATTTGGAGCACACCATGTTTGTTCTCTTGTGTAACCCCCGACTGCTTTTGCTCCCACTGAGCTTGACTTCATTAAACTTTAAATTAATTTATAAATTAGACTACAGATTTTAGAAACATATAGGCTGTTTCATCAAAGAAAAATATCATTCCTTTGAAGGATTTATAGATATACAAACACTTCATTTATAAAGCAGTAATGTTTCTACGCTAAAACAGACCTGTACTGTACAGTATATGCATATGTTTTGTGTTTCACCTGTGCTCCACTGTGGTCCCAGTGAACACAAATTAAACTGCCTCATCTTCTACAGTGGCTGCGCATCCACTGTGAGACTAATGAAAATGCAAGGCATGAGTAACAAGGGGAAACTTCATTTAAAAGACAAGATAGAAAATTTCTTGTGAATGTCACTCTGGCTGCCGCCTGTAATTGGTTTGGATGGCAGGTTCTTTGTGAGCATGGCCTGAAGAGGAAGGCAGTATGTTCCTGCTCTCGAGCTGTTCTTGTCCTAAAATGGAACTGCACTTTCCCTAATGCAATTATCTCTTAGGATTTTACACGGAGTCCTTTTAAGTGTATACTAGGTACAACCAGGAAATTCTTTATAATATTCAGCCTTTCAGTGTTTTTTTGTTGCCATCTCTTCCACTGCAGCTCATCTTCAGTGCAGCAGCTTCTCATTAATTAAAGGATTCAGTGGTGATAACCACATTTGCCACTGCATGTGTATCAAATTTTCAGGGGAAATAAACACCCACCCAGCATGTGAGGGCATAACCTCAGGTCTCTATGTGCCACTCAAGACTGCCTGTTCTGAAGAAGAATCGCATGCATTCGCCCAGGCTTCCTGTAAAAAAATGTTATGCCTGCCCCCACATTTCTGACTGACCTCAAATTAGAGGGCATGTCACTATATCTTGCTGGGAGGTCAAGTTTCAGGCAAGAGGATGAGGACTGCTTAACTACAGTGAGGACGCCACAAATGGCTACTTAATCAGGTTGGACAATGTGTTGTTGTGATCTGAGCGGCCCCAGTTTGCTGGCCAGAGCCACTCTATCCCCATAATTATTGTTCCGTTTCATCTGGAGGACTGAAAGGAGGAATATAGCCCCCAGTGTTGCTGGGTGACTGATAGGTAGTGTCAAGATGAGTTGGGAGGCAAGTGGAAAGGAACTAGCAAGAGAGAAGGGGAAGATGGGAGGAAATGGGTGGGACTTGACCTGTGGGAGACTTGCAGTCCAGATGCAGCAGCCCAGTAACTTTCCCCTTTTTCACCTTTTGCTTGTTTTTCTCCAGTAAAACCTGAGCTAAAGGGGTGATGGCCTCACTTCTCTGTCACTGAGAGGAAAAACAATCTCCTTGCCTAGTTGCTGCCATAAGATTTGATTTGCTTTCCTCCCAGCGTGACAATTGGTTCTGTAGTCTGGATGCAAGTGTATTCATTGTGTGGGGGCATGGGGAGCACCGGAGAGAAGAGGAAGGGTGGGGGAGTGAAGACACCAGTTGTTACACCAGTAAACACCCGACAAGTTCAGCAGATGTCACACACAGAAAGAGAGAGAAAAAAATGTCACACAGCTGCCGTACTGTTTGCATTATCGAGGCTGATACAGCACAATAAAACATTTAAATAATGAAGCAAGCTGGAAAAATATGGACAGATGTAGCGACATACACCAATAATATGCTATTCTGAAAAAAGGAGGCACAAGATGATGCCATCAGCAATGTGTTTCTTAGTCAAGGATTTCATTTATAGACACTGCTTTCCCTTTTCATTTCCATTTACAAGTTTAAAAAGCACTGACATGAAACCGGAGTTCTGTGAATTTCCAAGCTGTATCTTTCTCTGGAATAATTAGCAGTATTAAATTACAGTGGAATAAGATTAAAGCCTGCTTAAACATAAATGCATCCGATAAATTTTTAAGCCGAGTGACTACCAAATATTATTCTAATTGCTTAAAAACAGAAGGTATTTAAGCAGGGAGGGGCTGTCATGTCTGTCATGGATGCAACTCTTTAATGTCATCAGTTTAGGTGAGAAATACAGTAACAACCATCCAGGCTTGTTGTGGACACACGAGGCTCTTACTATCACATTAAAATGCACAGTTTAAACATGCTGAACAACAGACTAGATAGAATCAACAGAATCAATTAAACTGTCAGATCTAATTTTGCTGCTGCATTCTGTGTTCGAGCAGTCTGAGGTTGCTCTTCAGTCTCTGTTTATTGTTGCTGCAGCTCACTCGTGGACTCCTGTTGGTCCCGGAAGGAAATGTTACACATAATGTGTCTTATTATTGATATCCCATTGCTAAAGGAAGGGATGAGGAGGAAGAGATCGGGGGGGGCGGGTTACAGGGCAAGTCAATTAGAAAACAAAAAGGCTTCATTATCGAGCCAAGTTTGACTGTGGTTAGGTTAACAGAGTAGTAGTAGATGGTAAAAAGGGTAAAAGAGAGGAAGAAATAAGAGCAAAGATTCCCCTGGATAAAAGAAGGTCAGTGTATGAAACTGACTGGTTACAGATGCATGTACTATGGCAGTGAGAATGCAGAGGAGCATGTGTGTGTCTGCAAGCGACTTTGTCTAGGACTATGAAAAGAAAGCTTCACTTTGAACCTCTTACACATTCACACACAGACTCTTGTTCCACTTGTTCTACAAAAGCACTGCTCCAACAAAACAGCCTGTGCTGGTGTCGGACCACTTCGGGCCCCTGAGCTGCCATGGGCTTCCACCGCCACCACCCGTTTGCTCTCCACCCCGAGGACCATCATCACCACCTTCTTCCCGATTATAGAATTTCCCATAGATCCTCTCCCATCTGCTAGATTATAGATTTCCCTCTTCCTGTAGAGAGGGCAGGGCCCCTAAGGGAGGATCAGCAGTAAAAAGGGTGAAAGAGTGCCTGAGGCACAGCCATGGTTGTGGATGAGATTACATTTTCTATTTCTGCCTGTTAAAGGGGGCCTGCCATGATGAATACAGAGAGTTGTTACCATTTAATATCAACTGGCTCCCCTGCAAACTCAAATTATACACAATCAATTGTGACAGAAGGGTGCATGTGTGACAAATAACCTGCCAGATTCTCCGCATCATTTCACTTCATCACCCATCATTTCACCCCAAACCAAGTGGCCCTTTTGGGAATCAATCATGTTACAAAAGTGAATGATTCTGTTGAGAGAAGGTTTTTAAAAGCTTCACTGCATCGTCGTAGACCGCGCATTTCTGCAGGCTTTGAAACTAGACAAAAGAAAAACAACAACAAAGTGGGCGACATATGCTATTATGAGGTCAGCTGTGTCCTTGTACACGTGTTAAGTGTTGAGTATGGTTTGAGCAAATTAAGTAACAGCTTCTCTGAAACACAATGAAACAGATATGTAAACACCACACAACTTCCTCTTGGCATTTCCTTCTCATTTTTCTTGGCTTCCCGTGTGAAATTGAACAAATATTTGCCCATTCTAATCAAAACAATTGCCCCCTGCTCTCATAAAGTGAGGAAAACAGCTGAAGCACTCAGACACTATTGCTGGTTCTGTGTGTTTCACCCCCCACACAGGAAACTGCAGATCATGCGTCTGTCTTTTATTCTAAAGCAGAGACAATAGTTCAGAGCAGTCTCCATGTCACTCAGGCCTACAGGCTCCACAGAAGTCCAGTTAGTAGAGATGTGATTAATTATACATACATTGATAGAAACAGCATTCATTATTCATAAGCTTCTCAACGTCAAAGCTATTTCCCTCCCTTTCAGCATGATGAAAAGATTTTAAATAATAGGCCCCCTTCTGCAGACGTCTGCATTCCAGCGGAGTCGGCTGACGCTAAGGAGGCTTAAGTCAGAGCTGCTGTCTTACCAGGGAATCGGCGCTCGGGCCCAACATGTTTCAAGTTGTTGGTGTCTGTGTGGCTCCCAGGGTCAATGTTTTTGTTTTGTCTTTGTCTTAAGAGACGAGCCTGGTGCTTTTAAGTTTTTCAGATGGAGCTATAGCGTTCACTCAAAATGAATAGGGCTATAATGTGTCACTAAGGCGAACATAAGGCGGGAAAGGGTTTCATTTAACACCTGTTCATTGTTGACGTCTGTGTTTTCAGACTTATTTTATAAGCAAGCCAGAAGGAAAACCTGAGAATTTCTATGAGATTATGATTCATGGTTTTACATAGTAAAAATTAGGGAGGAAGGAAAAACTCTTGACTATCTACACTGTTCCCTAACAGAAATCGGCTTAAATGTCTTAAAGCCTGTGGAGCCCAATCAAATTCAAATAGTGGGAACTTCCTCTTTGGCAAGTCTGGAGGGATTTTCTTTAATTTGGATGTCAGACCAAAAAGTTTTCGCACTCCTCTCATCCCAAAATCCGTTAATGTGTGTGTGGCGCCACATGGGAGAAGTAATTGGGGATTTTATTTTTGAACAGACTCTGGAAATGTTGAGGATAACATCTAATCCAGGTAGAACTGGTCATTTCCAGAACCTCTGGGAATAAGTATTACAAACTTCTTTTTAGTAGCCATTAAATTTTTCAGAGAGAATTACTAGATACCATTTCCCCTCTTGTTTGAGCCCTGTATTAGCCAGTGCTGAGGGCGAAGAGGGGCACGCTAAAGTAGCGCACAAGAAATTCCCAAAGGTTTCTCCCACCTCCCCTGGACTGGGCCTTAAAAATAAACATTCAGACACACTGCAGATTATATAAACACATTTCCCTTAAATGCATACATGAGAGCAGTGGCTGAATAAACAGCAAAACTTTGAATCACTTCTGGGATCAGGAAAAGTTAGAATTAATTTTTGATTAACTCAGTGCACAAGAGGACGACAAAATTTAGAGATGTGTGAATCTGTGAGGGGAGCTGATCAACTTGCACTCTACAACATGGTGAAGCACAGTGTGGTACATTTTCTATTAGCAGCTTAAAGGTGGCTGTCAGCCACATCGATACCGCTGTAGTCTCTCTCTCTTTCTCCCTCTCTCTTGCTTTTTCTCTTGCTCACTGTGACAAGGCATCTTTCCAGACATTTTAGTTAGATGGAGATTTGCAGCAGCTCATTACAGACTGGGAGGCTCTGTGAGCGGATGCAGTCACTCTGAGATGGATTGAGTGGGTCTGTTTATTGACATGCCTTAACCTGACACTGGGTAAAGAGAATGAGCCACTGCCTCCAGACACACTACCACATCACAGCCACTCCAGCAAATATGGAGGCAGCACCCTGGATACAAGTGGAACTTCATCAGCGCTCATTAATCCAACTACCCCAGGCCATACACTCAAACAAACCATGTTTACACTGTGTGTTGGCCGGACGGAGACGTGATGGAGCTTTCAATGGGCATGTGTGCAGGTGCGCGGACATGCAACAAACACACACAAATGCATATACTGTGGCCACAAACACATACAAACATGCACTCCAGACTCTAGCTCATCAAAAACCCACCCGCCCTCCTAACCTATAACCCCCTAAACACAATATCTGTGTACACCAGCTGCTAAAACTCAGACGATGCACTTTGTCTTGCAAGTCAGAGGTGGTGCGCAAATCAGGGGTGGGTGATTGGGCTCTATGCCAAAGTACTTATCACAGAAAGGGGCTTTTTATTAAACAGATGGGCATATGAGATCTTTTAGTTTGCATCAGAACAAAGCTGCTACTATCGCTGATCCAGCTATGGAAGCCTAGTTAGTTTTTTGATCCTGTTTGCCAGCACTTCAATGTGAAGCACATCTGGTGCTAATATTTTGGATGGTCTTTCTAGTCAGCTTTCAGCACTGGGAATGACAGTAGAGTATTAGCTGCTTGCACATCACCATCAGCATCTCTAAATCCTGCTTGTTAACAGGACTGACAGGCTGCCATCATGGCACAGGCAGAACAAAACACAGCCGCTGCTCTGCGGTCAGATGCTACTGTTTGTTTCTCATTACAGTGTTGTTTAGGATATTGTCTGAAAGATGTGAAGATGGGAATTCTCTATACTTTATATTTAACTGTAAATTTACAAAAAAATCTAAACCTCAGCAAAAACAAGAAGTATGTGTGAAAAGCATAAGCTAGTCACAGACAAAAGTACATTTTTCTTGAGGAATGCACACATGCAGACACACAGGCAAAACAAGCAAAGGGAATAAACACTGTGAGTCAGAAAGGGAATAACACAAATTTACAGTGAAGCACACATGTTCATACACAAACGCACACACAGATAGGCTTGCAGTGAGGGAGAAAGGCAGAGCGGGGCCTGCTGTTGTCTCCACCAGGGACTGGGAGCCTAGCAGCTTGAGAGCAGGGCCAGTGGAGAGGGGGCCAGATGCAGTGGGCTTGACCCACTCATTTGTGAGGGTGGGGGGAGTATTTCGGCAGCTGAAACACATAAGGATTAGCTGCACTGACTTCATTTAATTTAATTTGTATTAGGGCCGTCTTTGGGGCAAACATCGTTTTTCACTGTGGGGGGATATATGGGGTCATGGAAAACAGCAACAGACGGCCTCCTACCCCTGCAGTGGATCCACAGGGGAAAGTAAGGAACTGTATTCCCAGACCTCAGGCACACACACGCAGATGCAGACAAATACACACACTCAAGCACATATCTTGTTTCCACCTAATTATGTCTATATTATGAAGTCAAATCTCTCCAGCTGAAATGCATCTCAGAACAGCATCCACCTTTCCACAGCTTGAGTTCTTCAAATGAAGACCTTGAATCCTTTTGTTCTGCCACCATAACAACATGTAGTAATTTTCTGTGCTTATCAAAGCTCTGCTTTGTGTGTCTGTTTCTGTGTGTGTGTGTGTGTGTTGCACTAAGCTGTTATCTACCAAGAACATATCTTAGGGGTGGATGTTTATCTGTGCTGATGCAGATTGGAGGACTTTGCTTTGTCTCACTGCAGCAGTACATAATATTATTTGTATTTAGTTTTTCACTGTTTATTTCTCCTAGGCTGATATAGTGTGATAGGTTATAGTGGAGAAATCCTTTTAGTTATCTCCAGTCATCTCATGTGCTTTTACTTGTAATCTGGGAATTTAATAAATGAAAAGGAGATGAAAAATCTGTACACAGTCAAATAATTCAACTCCCCTTTGTATTCCATGCAACATGACTTACACTGTTAGGCAGAGGAGGAAAACAACTGCAGTAAGTGAGTGAGTACCAAACATGTCTTCTCACTCACAATTTACAGTAGCTCTGTGGAAAAATATGGCAGCGATCAGCGATTAAGCCTGCTGTAGCAAAGCCTGTGATCATATGAAAGCTTCCTTTCTGTTTTGTGCAGGTGACATAGTCAGAGACGAATCTAATGTAACACACTGGGGGAAGTAGTTTTATTACAAACATGTCCAAAACATAAAGAAAAAAAAACCTATGTGTGTGAGCTGAAAAGCATTGCTTTGTCTTTGCAAGACAGAGAGGACTGTACTGCTGGAGCCTGTTCAAGACTATCAGGCGCTCACTAGCAGTCGTTTCTTCCTCTCTCCCCCAGCCCCTATCAAAAGATGTTACTGTGTAAAATGTCAAAGAAAAAAGAGGCAAGAGAAGTAATCGCCTTCTCCTTTTTGATCGCAAGTGGAATAATTGGAACCCTCTTAGGCTCATTACATGAGTTGCCCGCCAGCCAAACGACGGCTCCAACTGCCCCTCTTCATTCATGTTGGAGCTTTGAAAAATATTGCTTCCTCTAGTAACAACTCTTTATAAGATGCAATGACTAGAGGTCCTGGTACCTACATTAACGGGTAATCCCACAGTGCTTTTGAACAGATATCTTTCAACTACCACTGTCAAACATCAATTCAGAACAATGGGAAGGAAACGGCAGTAATCGTGATCTGTAATAACGC